CTTAAGTCCACCCCCCTTCTAGGTATACGTGATAATTCAGTCTTTAATTACATTGCACTTAATATTTTTCCCCCAAAGGACTCCAGTCTAATTTAGTGCACAGGATAGACAGTGCTTGGGGAATGAGCAGCTAGCTATTCAATGTAACTTTTTGTACTAATCTTTCAGCATTTAGTACAGGAAATTATTTACTGCATACCACCCAAGCCCTGCATTAATAACCACAGATCCTGATTTTCTCTATTTAAAAACCTTAAATTCTCTGACAAAAAATCCCAAACTCTTTGATTAAAAAACCCTCAAATCTGCATTTTTTCATTACTAAAATGAAACACCACTATATATGCAGGTATCAATTGAACACAATGTTTTATTCATGGATATATAATTTTAAAGCAATTCGGAAACCTACTAGTGCCTCAAATCATAATAAACTAAATTCTAAATACCTATATATTTTGACTTTTGATTGTGTTTTTTTTAATCATACAAAAATCAGAGTTCCCCCTGCTCCCTTCGCTAACCAGGATGTGGGTCCAGCTGCAGCTGTTCCCATCCCCCAGCTTTGTGGCTCTGAGTAACCTTGATATGCTGGTGCTCTGCCCCTGTCCATGCTGTTGCCCCTCACTCCCCACCCACAGCCCCCTGGCCCTGTGAATGCCACCCCCCCCCGCCAGTCCTACTGGTGTATCTCACTCCTAACACAGTCCCCTGGCCCTGCCAGTGCCCTTCACATGCAACATATGCCCCTTGCCTCCCCCCAGCCCTGGTCAAGGGGGTCCCTCAGCTGCCAGGGCTATAGGACCAAGGCTACGGCCCACAGCTCCCTGTTCCCCTCAGCAGCACCTGAGCCACGGCTGCCACCCACAGGAGCCAGAGGTTGCTGTGGCTAGAGCAGAGCATGGAGCCTGGCTCTCCCTCCCCACATGGGCATCACAGCCAGAGTAGAGCCCAGGGTGGGTAGGGATGCAGGCTGCCCACTGTGGCCTTGGGGCTCCCCCTCTGCGACACAGCAGGGCAGGGAAGCTTGGTGCTGCTGCGGGCAGCCCCACGCCAGCCACACCACCATGACGAGGTGCTCCCTGCCCACCTAGCAGCAGTGGAGGACACAACTCTGCAACACTGCTGCTGCTGCCGGGTGGGCAGGGCGTGACTCACCATGGTGGTGCAGCTGGCACGGGTCTCCTAGCAGTGGCACTGAGTCTCTCCAACTCTGCTGCGGAGGGGGGCAGGGCAGCATGGCACGGAGACCCGAGGCTGCAGCGGGCAGCCCACATCTGCCCCATCCCATGCACAAATCTGGGGGCCACGTGTCCCCCCACGCCTCCTTCCCCTCCCTCAACCCATGTCTCCCTCCCACTACCTGGCTGGGCCCTGCGGTCATGCACTCCCATCCCAGCCCTGGGCCTGACACACTGCCCCGGCTAGGCAGCACCCACATCCCCAGCCTGTCCTACGTCCTCCTTCACCATGGGGGCCTCAATCTTTGCCCCTTGTCAGATTTAGCTGGAGGGAGCTGCGGGAGTTGCTCTCCACTGCTACCTGGATGCCACGTGTATGCGCATGGCACCCCCTGTCTCTGATCGTTCTCCTCCTGCTCTCCCCGCCCCCAAGCAGCCCCTTGCAGGCTGGAACCTGCTGTTTCCCATGTTTTTCTCCTTAAAGGGGAAAAGCTGCATTTTTCCTCCCTAAAAGGGGAAAAGGCACATTTTCCCTCCATAAAAGCAGAAAATCTGCATTTTTTTCCTTAAAGGAGGGGAATTCACATTTTTTTCCTTAAAAGGGGGATATTCTGAGAGGCAAGGCACAACAGTTATTCCCTTTTTAAAATTATGATCAAAATTGTCAAAATCTCTCATTAGTTTTACATGCCTCACTTGAAACAAGGGTTTAATTATTCAAAGTAGCTACCAGTAGCTATGTTTAAAGTGCAACTCCCACTGACTTCATTTGTAGACGTGACTACTTCTGCATATTATACTGCGTGTGTCTTAAACAAGGCACTCGGAAAATGAAGATCACAAGATTAATGACAATTGTGGAAAGTATGGTTTATGTAACTTGCCAACATTACATAGCTGCAATGAGTGGAGCCTGAGATGGAATCTAGTTCTCTAGGGAAGCTGTCAACTGCTTTACTCATGAGATCATCCTTTTTTTTTCCTGCAGCCCCCCTGCCTCATTCACACTTCAGCTTCTGGAACAGATAAGGTAGCACTCCTGCAGAGAGTCGCCTTCTTGATTGCACAATCCTGACTTCTTCTTAAAACAGGTTCATCTTGTATGTCAGATGAGTCAGGCATCCTCAGGAAAAAACTAATATGTAATTGTATAGTTAAAGGCCATATCATTATTGTGCTCAGAAATAGGCTGAATTAATGTTGCATGGTATGTTTTAGTATTGGTATGTCTTAACTTTACAGAACTTGGACTTCGTAATCTTTTAAAGTAAACCTTTGTTATGTGATATCACAGGCTTTTAAAAATGCAAACTTAAAAATCAGTTTGTTGTGTGGTGCCATTCTGACCTCCAAAAGTGTCAGTCTATAGGATAAGAATTAAAGCACAGCTAGAACTTTCCAATGATACAGATTTAAGATTTTTTTATAGGGACAATACAATGTATTTCCCCCTATAATCTTGGTTTTGCAAACCAGTTGTTGGAAATTTCCAAACAAATTCATCTTGAAGCGCACACCTTCCCTGCAGAATTTTAGCTCAAATAGTTTAAGTCTGGTGAGAACATAAAAGAACACCTCAAGATTGCCTCCCACATCCTCCTGAATGGGGGAGGCAATCTTGTGACAGAGGATGTAGAAAAGATGGAAGTGCTCGATTCAGGGAACTACAGAACAGACAGCCTCACCTCAGTCCCTGGAAAAATCATGGAGCAGATTCTCAAGGAATCCATTTTGAAGTGCTGGGAGGAAAAAAAGGGTGATTGGGACAGTCAGCATGGATTCACCAAGGGCAAGTTATGCCTGACCAAGCTGATTGCTTTCTATGACATGACTGGATCTGTGGATGCGGGGGGACCAGTGGATGTGCTATACGTTGATTTTAGAAAGGCTTTTGATACGGTCTCTCACAACATTCTTGCAGGCAAGCTAAATAAGTATAGGCTAGATGAATGGACTGTAAGGTGGATAGAAAACTGGCTGGAGCATCGGGCTCAGAGAGTAGTAATCACTGGCTCAATATCTAGTTTGCAGCCGGTATCAAGTGGAATGCCCCAGGGATCAGTCCTGGTGCTGGTTTTATTTAGTGTCTTCATCGATGACCTGGAAGATGGCAAAGAGAGCTGATGGGCAGGGCTAGGATTCAGAGTGACCTAGACAAATTGGAGGATCAGACCAAAAAAATAAAAATAAAAAATAAAAAAAATTCATGAAGTTCAACAAGGACAAGTGCAAAGTCCTGCACTTATGATGGAGTAACCCCATGCACCACTACAGGCTGGGGGCTGACTGGCTGGGCAGCAGCTCTGTAGCAAAGGACCTGGTGATTACAGTGGACAACAAGCTGATTAGGAGCTAGCACTGTGCCCTGGTTGTAAAGAAGGCTAACAGCATATTGGATGCATTGGTATAAGTGTTGCCAACACATCAAGGGAAGTGATTATTCCCCTCTATTTAGCACTGGTGAGGCCACATCTGGAGTACTGTGTTCAGTTTTGGGCCTCCACTACAGAAAGTATGTGGACAAATTGGAGAGAGTCCAGTGGAGGGCAACAAAAATGGCAAGGGCGCTGGGGACATGACTTACAAAGAAAGACTGGGGAAACTGGAATTATTTAGTTTAGAGAAGAGGAGACTAAGAAGGGATTTAATAGCAGCCTTCAGCTACCTGAACAGGGGTTCAAAAGAGGATTGAACTAGTCTGTTCTCAGCGGTGGCAGATGACAGTACAAGGAGCAATGGTCTCAAGTTGTGGCAAGGGAAGTTTAGGTTAGATATTAGGAAAAATTCTCTCACTAGGAGGGTAGTAAAACACTGGAAAACGTTACCCAGAATGGCGGAATCTCCATCCTTGAAAGTTTTTAAGACTCAGCTAGACAAAGCTTTGGCTGGGATGATCAAGGTGGGGATGCTCTGGGCAGGGGGGTAGAATAGATGACCTACTGAGGTCCCTTCCATCCCTAATTTTCTGTTTCTGTGATTCTATGGCTATGGAGTTTGCCATCAGTTCCACCTCGGATTAAAGGGAAAAGAGCAAGATAGAAATCATGGGCCAAAATCAACATTGTTTTTCTACAGGTTGGTAAATACCATTTGAGGAACATTAAGCCCTTTTCACTCTAATGACACTTCTTTTTGAGACTTTTGATCTGGCCAAAATCTCAGGGTGCCTATTCCATTCTCAACCTCTTAGCTACTTTTTATTTGGTTTCCTTTTCTATTACTACTTTATCCTCCTAGATTTTCCAGATGGCCAAAGACCACTTTGGCTGTTTCCTCAGTGTCTCTTTCAGAGGCTCCTCTTTCTCCTTCACTGCTTACTACCTGTGAGATATCCCAAAGCTCCATCATCTTAGTTTCACTCCACACCCCATCTCTCATTAGCTCCTAGGTCTTTGAACACCAGCTCTCTGCTCTTGACTCAAATATTTTTTTACCACTTTTCTTTCTCCTTTTATCCAATTCTCTTAGTTCATCTCTCTGACATCTCTTGGCTGTCCTGCCATTAGCAAATGCTTAACATGGTCAAATGAAGCTACTTCTTGTCCATCCTAGTGCTTCTGTATTTCTTGCGTTTCCAATTACTCTTGACACCATCACCATCCTCCCTGTCATTCCGGCCCAAAATCTAGTGCCTACCCACACAACCAAATCCTGATGTTCTTTTTTTCTTCAACATCTCAAAACACCCTCTTCTTTTCACTCTAACAACCTCACGTCTGACTGGCTCCCATTGCATCCCATCACAATGAGTGCAACATTTTCTTACAGTTCTCTCATGTTTTGCTTATATGGTATTAACCCCAAGCCCCATATACTCACCAGCCTGTGTGGACTTTCTCCTTGCTTTCTTAATTTCCTCTTCTGTCTTATTGCTGAGCTTTGTCTCCAATTGCTGGGTTTTCATTTCCAGATCCTTCTGCCTCTCAGTTAGAGCTTTTCGGGCCTTTGAGGGAACAAAAACACCACACATGACTCACGGGAGTCTGGAACTTCCAATTGCCTTCAGACTTCTATGAACTGCTTACAGTCCCAGACTGGATCTTTCCAGTACAGAAAACAGGGATTCTGTTAGGACTGCTAACAGAAGAGTAAAGGAAAGCTGTATTACTTCTGATTTTATAGCTAACATTGCTAAAGTGCAAGCCTTGTGCTTGTTTCTTTAATTAGGAACTTAACTGTACATAGAATTTTATATTATACTTGGAATTATTTTTACAAAGATTTTCCTTTTTAAATCTTTACCTCAACTGGTAGTAGTACAATTTAGAATTATTTTTCCAGGCTCTGCAACTAGTTTAAACTAATGATTAAAAAACAAAACAGGGGCTTTAAATCATGATTTAAATCACCTTGCTTTAAATTGATCCACACTTTTTAAGTTCTAATTTGTATGTAATTAATTACTCTAGTTGTAAATCTAAATTAGGAAAGTACATGAACTAATGATCAAAACTAGCCACAAGTGCATATATTTATTACATGTGCCAAGATTACCTAAATACACAAATTAGAAATGTGATATGCACAATCTGTTGCCTAAATGGTTAAAAACTGAACCAATTAGGCACTTAGTGGCCTTAACTATGTATACGATTTATAACAAGCTGGGATGATTATATATTTGTGTGTTTATTTGAATTACATACTGTTTCACCAGCCCTAGACTTAAGCTCTTCATACAGATTTCACAAACAATTACAATTGGCTTAAACCTGTAATTCTGAAAGACTCTGAGGGAGGAATTTTTGAGTTTAGATTAAGCTACCATGGCCACAAGAGGGAGCCAAAACTGCAGGTAATGGAGCCTGATGGAGAGTTGTCTGCTTTGTCTGTCCCCACAAGCAGACACAGCACATATAGTCGTTATCCCTCTAGATACATGCTTATATAATGCTTACTTTCAGATACAGCTTTAAAGAACCTAACATGGCTGGGGAAACTACTGTCCACATGTGATAGTGCAAACTAATTGGTTACTTTGAGGCTCTTACCATGTGTATTCTGTACCTAGCAGTCTGGAGATCCTTTTCACATAGAATGATCTTTAATTTTCTGCTGATTCCTGAGATCACTCAGCAGGA